ACCTTCAACACCAATTCCTGCTAATAGAATATTTTTCAACTTTCAGCTATTTCTTTTTGATGATTTGACTGCCACAAAATTGCAAGTTCTTCTTCTCCTTTTTAAATTTTATTAAGTATTTGTCTTGACATGCCAGTAGAAGATATTTTCTCTTTGTAATTAAAAAGTTCCATGTGAGTTAGCTGCCCTATCCCTAGTTGGTCCACAAATTCAGAACTCGAGAGAGTATGGGCCCGCTCTTCTACTCCATTCCCACTTAAATACCTCTTTTTTAGCCTTTTGGACCCCTGAAAAGAAAAAAGAAATTTGAAATCAAAAATAAAGAAGACAAACGGGGCTATCTGGTAAGTGACATGATTCAAACTTGTGGCATGCGCATTATTATACACCCAGCATTGCCTCCTTACTGCTGAACCAAAACCCTTGCCCCTGGGGGCCATAAATGTAAGATATTTAAGTAGACTTGATCTTCATATTAATCAACTTTATGTAATTCAATGAACAAACTAGTACAGTAAGTGTATCTCTTGAGTCTGCTTGTTGGCCAGTTGTTGATGTTATTCTTTGATGCGTCTCAGTTTTTCATTTTATTAAAGTTCCTCCCTATTTTCTCTTTGTAACATTTCTAACTTTATACATTAAGGTCCCAGAGTATATACACTTTCAATCTATTGTAAAATTATCAGTTCATAAATCTGTAAATATATGTAGCAGTTTAGTACTACTTAATTAGTTGTTAGCTTTTACCACCAACCTCTAAGGCTTCTTAATGCTCAAGTTTGAACACTAAGTCGAAAATTGTTATGTTGGTTGGACAATTTCATTAGACAATACCACTCAGCATACGAGAAATCCATGTTATATCTTGAAAATATAGATTCTTGCTGATGAAGTGTACAAGATAATCCCTTATCAAAAAAAAAAAAAAATGTACAATATAATCTTGCTTCATGTGTTAGGATGTGTTAAACTTGTAATGTATACCACAAATCTTCTTTTAGTGGCCACCTTCATCCGCAAACAAAACTAGTAACGTCTTAGTCCTATGCTTTACATGGGCGTATCTAGCTCTTAGTGTATGGGTTCACGTGAACTCATGCTCCTTTCCCTAAATCATGTATAACAATGTTATATTTTTTCAAAATTACTTAAATATATGAGTGCGCACCCATGCTCAAGGACTCCTATGGAGCAATAATTATTGGGTGCACCTTTACAAGTGAAATTTGCGGTTAAAAACCCACTCCGGACGGTCTTGTTTTCGACATCGAGTATGTGTATACAATATGTGTGTGTGTGTGAAAATCAATAAAATTTCAAAAAGTATAATTTTGAACCTATAATTTCAAAAGTTTAGTGGGTTCAGGGTAAAAGACTAAAGTTAAACCCGTCAAGTGAGAATTCTAGATCCATCTCTTTATAATAGTACCCATCCTCTTGAAATTCTGGATTCGCCTCTGATGCTTTAGGGGAGCATTTATGCTTGGAAGATATAATGGGTTATTGGGTGGTAAGGGTTTTTTGTCAAATTTCTATGATGCATATCTAAACCATATTTCGATTTTGACATATCCTTAAGCTTATTCTGAGCTTGTAAACTCCAGAATTGAGTATTCTGACAGGATAATAGATGGTAATGATTATTCACATGGTTAAATTTGCCATAACTCTGTTGTTTCCCTAAACTATTATTTCAAGTTTCAAGTTCATTTACAGTTGACTAGGTCATGTGATCTATTCCCCTTCACTAAGCTAGTTCGAACCTTGCCACAGACAAAAGCATGGTATTTAAGTAGAGAAGGGTAGAGGGGAAGCCCATTGTCGAGTTTCTAACCACTGTGTCAGTTGACCTGGGTTTTCTCGTTATCCCAAAAAGAACAAGAAACAAGATCTAAATTTCTTCGACATGATTTTCTTCTTTTTAGTTTCCATTCCTTTTCTATGACATCATTTTACAAATGCTAAAGTTCGAGTTTACACATTCAAAAATTGCAGGCCAGGGATCTTCCTCAGTTTCTGCAAGTGGGTTATCGTCTAATACCTTATTTTATATTTAATGCAGAAGAAGGTATGTTATTCTTAAGTCCTAGTACTTTTTCTTGTCTGAAGATTCACTGTGCACATTGCATGTTCTTGCAGTAAAGGAAAAGAATAAAATGTCTCATATCTTTCTTTACGTTGGGTCGCATATTAGAGTATTGAGGCTTAGACTGCAAGTTTTTCCCTGTTTTTTTCCCACTGCAGAGCCAGTTTCCTCTTTCAGTAACACCTGGTGGAGGGGGTGAGGGTTCCTTGACTTGAGGAAGTTGGGCTTGTGTAACTACACAGCACGAACCTCATAGCAGTTTCAGTTTGCTGTTTACCGGAGTGTCCCTACGTAAAAGTTATGATTAGTTTCCATAAAAGAAAAAAATAAGTTATGACGCTACAAAAGCTTCACTGAAGAGTCGCAAATGCATGATTCCAAAGTTTGTACCATGTGATTCTTCATTCAATCAATCATTCTGTAGTCACCAATACCATAGAAATTTGAAGAAATAACAACTAGACTATGCATGAAACCTAATATTCTTGTAGGCCTAGTATGACCGCATAGTTGTCGGATGTACTTCATAGACTCCATACACTACTAAGTCGAACATATCAACTTAGTTTGATAGTTTTCTGCAGTGGTGGATGATACTTTTTTATAAGGAAAGAAGACTGCGAACAAACTAAGAATAATTTGATCAAAATGGAAAAACAAGAAAATGAACTCAAAGGGAGCTTGAAAGACTATACAAGTTGCTTAAAGTTAAATATATTAGTAGTAGTGATATCTCATCAGAAAGATAAATTGAAGGAAGCAATAGAAACTGATCCATGCATGTATTCTTGTTGTGGTGTAAGGGAAGTTCAACTGGCAATTATTTTATATAATTGCTTGGTTAATTAGAACGTGCAGTCTGATTGTTTTCCTAATGCATCCCCATGCATATAGTGTAGAACGTACTCAAATTAGTCAGTTGTTGCAGGCTCTAGAAGTACCTTGTTTGCAGCAACAGATCCTCAAATATCCGAGTATTGTGAAATGCTGAAAGCAGATGACTGGCCAGTCTGTGCTTACATTTCTCACGATTGTCGTCCCACAAATGCTTCTGAAGAAGCACATAATGTCGAAACTTCTTATAAGGTCTGGGAGAAGACGCTAGATTTGGTTGGCCTTCCTTTAGACTCAGTAGAGAGGCTTATAGAAGGGGAAGAAATTAAATGCCGGTATGGGAATTCCCAGGAGTAACTCCATCTGTGATGGGATGTAATGCTTAGTCTATTGCTCGGTGCTTGGATTGGTTCAGACAGCATTCCACTATCCACGAAGTTTGGCCCTCCGCAAGGTCATCATGCCTTCAGCTTTCTCATCCCTTGATGTGTTTCAGTATTCAAAGGATGAAATAGAGCATGTTGTAGAAACCTGTATTGCGTGATAGAAACTTTTTGGCTTGTGCTAATGTTTACGTGCAAGTTGACTGCCTTTGAGGTTTCTTATATTTCAGCTTGTAGTCGTGTAACTGATGACACAGGCATGTATTTTGTTTTCTTGTTCTGTGCTTAAGGTCTGTGTACGAGTTCTCCACTGGAATCCTTTTCCCCATGTCTTAAGTCCACACAGACTTTTTTCGGTTTGCTGCGTTAATGTTTGTATACGAAATCATACAAAATGAATCAACTCTATTGCCGCATGAATATGTTGCAAAGACGTCCATTACATGTTATATCTTAATATAAGAAAAATTGGCTTTTGTCATCTGATAATGGCAAATATCTAGTGCGCTTCTAACGTATTGCTAAGAGAAATTTTGACCCACAGTTACGTCTCGCGCCGACACAACTATACATTGGTATGGTCTGATTGCACAGAAGGATGCTACTGCCTTGTCCACAACTTATCTTTCATTTAACCAAAGCATTATATATGGTGATGCAAATGGGCATTACCCAACTTGTGTTAAAGCTCTGTCCAAGATTGGACAAATAATTGGATTATTTGCATAGGATGACTTTCCTCTTGACGCCACTATGTAATCCTTTTGTTCTAGGCTACACTTCACCTTTAAGTAATTGGATGAATATTTTTTTTCTCAGACCAAGTTAAGTAGTGACTTCCGAAAAGATCATTTGTGTAAATGCCCCAAATAATGTAGGATAACCATTTGCTAAGTTTACAAAACGTGCAAAGACGACAAAATACTGGGTTCTGTAGAGACACGTACACTTTCTTTTGACAACAAATCTCGGATTCGATATCTTATATGCCTTTTAAAGGACATTGATCTGATCTCACTATCCTTCCCTGTATATAGGCAATAGACAGATAGCAATTGTACTAGGACAGCACAAGATAGTTTTGCGTTCTCACAATAAATTATTTTATTCTATTTTAGGTGACATTTAACTCTCATACTTTAAATCTCTTATAAATTTGGATAAAGGAAGTTTATAGGGTCGTTTGATTACCCGGATAAGATAGAAGGATATCCCACATGATTAACTATTTCACCTTTTTATGTGAAATAGTTAATCTCATCATTTAAGTATATAATAGTTTCACGAGGCTAATTAATATTCATATCAAACGTGAGATAACATTTTATTCCGAAATTATTATTCTTTATAGTTTATCCCATCAACCAAATAAGTCCACGCAAATATCTCTAAGCTAAAAATAATGATATGCATATCATATGAGATGGGGAGAGTTTCTTTTGTGGAGAAAAAATTGTGTTTTTTTCCCCACTTTTCAGGCTGTATCATAGGGCTGTAACCAGTAGCTGTAGGTCTGTTCCCTATTAGAACTCAAAACCCCATCTTTGACCTGTCTATCAACTCAGTTCTCAGCAGCTGCATTAAATACACTGCACGGACTTTAAAACGTGGCAGCTATTGATTCGCCAAAAATCAAATCGTTGTATGCGGGCTTCCAGCAAGAAACTATTTGACTTCTCGACCCCAAACCAAAGAAAAAGTCCCCTAAAACCAAGAAAACAGAAAAGCCCAAAGACACCCCCAACTTTATCTATATCTATAACTTCGAAAAAAAGAACAAACCTTTACTCTCCATAATTTGGATTTGTAACTGCGCCTAAACGTGCATTTGGACCTCAAAGGTTTGTAATAGAAGCACTTCTCTTTATCTGTTAGTAGTATTTTTTTTTAAATGATCAAGAATTTCAAGTAAAGTAAGCTTCTTCGTTTCTTCATCACTCAACTTCTGCTCAAGTTTGTTCTTCTCGCCCCCACAAACGTATTCTCTCTGTTTCTCTCTTATTTGGAGATTTTTGCTTAGCACTTGTTCTTAGTTTTCAGCTTCCTTTGCATTAACTTGTTTTTCTCACTTGAAATTTTGTTCTTAAACTCATGGTTTCTAGTCGTGTAGTCCAACTCTGCTGTAACTTATAGGTAAATTAGAAATGCAGGAGGAGAAGGGGGAACATAGTGGCATTTAATAATATTATTTACATATTTTAAGTTTGTTAACTGATCTTTTGACCTCGTTATCTGCATTTACATATATTCTTGAGGTTCTATACTGCTATTATGTTGCTTCTATTCTTTTTTGTTCTGTTCTTTTTTCATCTAATACCTCAAACAGATCATTAATTGTACTGTGCATTCTCATTTATTATGGGGTATATCAATATCTTCATGAAATGCAACAAAGTCTCAGTTTTTTCCATGTGTTATTTGCCTTTCATTAATTGATGAAAGAGATAAAAATTATTTCTGATGTGAACTTCATTTTGAATTGTGTAGGCCCTATTTTTGCCTACTGAAATGGAAACAAAACTGAAGGCAGAGAAAAAACATGGTGGTGAAGCCTCAACTCCTATTTCTATGGCTTCTTCAAATTATTCAAAAAGGAGAAACTTCAGTAGACCCTCTTGGCTTCTTTGCACAGTTGCTGGTAAATATTGAGATATTTTTTACTCTGCTTTTTCTTATCTGTTAAATTGTATACCAACATCATTTTAGGAAAAAAGGTCAGAACAATACCCAAATATACTAGTACATTTTACTATCCATTATATTTGAGTATCATTCATGCCTTTGCCGTTATCAATAGTATTTTTCCTTGACACTAAGGTCGTTTGGCGTGCGGACTAAATTATTCCGGATCACTGGACTATTTTGTTGGGATAAAGTGAGATAATTTATACTATATTTAGTTGACTTAATCTCACACTTTATCCCGCGTACCAAACTACGTTAACTGATTTTAAACTATAGTCAAAAGTAGAGGCATAAATTTGGATTTTTCCCCATATATTGACACATAAAATCTCTTACTGTCAGGGGCAAATGTATGAATGACCCTGGAATATAGAAGAAGAGATAAGATTGAAATATTTCCTAGAGTAAAGGTGTAAATTTGAAGCTTTTACCTAAGTATAGTTTTTTTACACCCATATTTGACACATAGAAAACCTTTTTTCAAGATTTTATTTTTTGAAGAAGCATATTGAATGTTGTACCATAATTTGTTTATTTGTTGTCGTAGTAGACTAGTAGTAAGAAGATAAGTTGGAAATTTCAAGATTGTAGTTTGGTCTGAGATTAAATTTAAATTGTGTTTGATTGAAGGTACAAATAACTTGCAATTATTTTATGAAAGTAAGATAAATTAGTCCAAAAATTATAACTTTAGGACTATAATCCCAAGATTGGACTAGTGATGGCAGAAACACAGAAAGAGAAGGGAGCATTGATTGTAATTTGTTGGGGAAGGGGGCCCATTATATTTTAGGTGATGGGAACATTTCTTTCCCTAGGGAAATGACTAAAGTGTTTACCTTTCTTTTGGAAGTGTATGGGGGAGAAGAGAAGAGAAGAGAAGGGTATCATTCTGAAATGAAGGGTCACTTTCTTTCACAGATTATGAATTATGATAGAAACAGAAAGTTAATTTCAAAAAGCTGTGTCCTTTTGCTATTTACGTCTCTTCCCTTCCGGTTTCTGTCTAAACTTTTTTCAAAATTTGAATACTAAAATCGTTTTCAAATGGAGGGTAGTATTTACTTTTATTATCTGATGCCGTGTGGCAGAAAGAAAACGATTTCTGTTTTTAAATATGACAGAATCTTTTCTTTCTTTTCTGAATCTTTATCTCTACATTAGAGGCAATGTAGCTTTAATCCTTTTTGAGTACAAGAATCCAATGTGCAGCTAGTAATTTTGTTTCTAATTCCAAGTACGAATTCATGTGCTTGGTTCACAAGATTATATAAGATTTTTGACCAAATGACTTTTAGAATTTGTGATCCTAAACAAGTCAAAAGAATGTACAAAAGTATTTGTGTGGTTATAAAAGCTTCTCATTAAGGTAGAGTTGGAAGTTTAATCTAAATTGTTTTCAAATTTAGAAGGCAAAATACATAAGTAGCCACCTGAACTTTACACCAAATCCATGTTACACACTTTCTGAGGACGAATATCATATTACACACGAAACCTTTCAAAATTGTGTCTAGTACACCCTACTTTTTTCTTGACCAATTTCTCAGAATATGTGTAGTGTCACGCACCAATAACATCATGCCACGTGTTAGTAATTTTTTAAAATAAAAAATGCTTAAATTTCTGTTGATCAGTTTCTCTTTTTCTTCCAGAAAGAACCAGAGGCACCACACCATACTTCAATTCTTCTCTTTATATGAAGACCCACTTTCTTCATCATCTTTGTTCTTATTTACCACTATTTCTCCTTACTCTAAAAATTTATTACCATATTTTGGTTTCTAGGTTTTGTTTGCTATAGAAATACCATTTTTACCGATGGGTGTTGCCACTGTAACAGTGGCCGGAAAATAGAGGTCGCCATTATTTGCAATTTTAACAAAACGAGACCAGATCTGAACGAAGAACCACCAACTTGTCGGAAAGATTTGAGAGCTTTACCCCGTCGGAGAAAATCTGACCTCGTCGGCCATGAACTGACAGTGAAAGTAACAACCTGGCAACAGAGGTCTCGGCGTTGCTTGAGGTCGCCGCCGGCATTATGAGTTATGATCGAGATCTACTTAAAGGAGATGAAAGGGGGAGGAGATGGGAGGCGTGGAAGAGAAAATGGTGTTGTGGTTGTCGTCGACCCCCCAAGACGGTAGGGGGCTCCAAATGGGGAAGAAGGCCTGGACATCTTTTATCTTTTCTTTTAACTAATAATTTAAGAAAAATAAGGAGAACAAATAAGATTTGGACACGTGTGCGTATATAAGGATTTAGACAAATAATGCATAGGTTTTACACGCTCAGTGTCTTTTGTTATACACACGCGTGCCATCTGGCAAAAGTAGTGTGTAGTAGACACAATTTTGAAAGGTTGCGTGTGTAAATTGATATTCGTCCTCAAAAAGTGTGTAACAGGGATTTGGTGTATAGTTCAGGTGGCTACTTATGTATTTTGCCAATTTAGAAATGGGTCATTCTTTTTGGAATAGACCAAAAAGAAAATAGGTTCACATAAATTGGAACATAGAGACCAGTAGTAGTTTAGTTAGTAGTACCTTGTTGGATGGGCGGTTCTAATTATTCAACCGATATATGTCGGCGGTGTTTTTTTAAATATGGCCTAAAATAAATTTGTTTTTGTAAAATTTAGATTTCTTAGTCATAACCCACAAATTTTTTTTTCTTTTTTTTTTTTTTTTTCCTAAATGAGTTTTTCATAAAATTTTTTAGAAAATTATAGTATAAGAAGGATTAGGCAGTATTAGGCAATGATCATTTTGGAAGTCTAGTTTTGAGTTATAATGTAATGCTCATATAGACGAAAGAAATTATGATTTCATGGATGCCATCTTTATCTTGTGCCGGCAATTTTGATTTTAATATTTTGCTGCATGTTACATCAATGTTTTTAAATTCGTAGAAATGTGGAAAGTTGAAGAATTAATATACAAGGACTAGAACCAGTGTTATTGTTTGGATTCAAACTACTGATTTCATTTTCATGCACGTCCAAATTTGTCACAATCTGCACATAGGAAAGAAATGAGCTGAAGATGAAAACCATGTGCTATGGAATTCAAATTTCAAATTCTTCAACTGTCAAGAAAAAAACAGATCATTCACTTATTTGTTTCTACTTGAATTTGGGTGTTTCTATTCTCTTTAGATTTGGATGAGAAGATGAAGAACGTTGCTCTGAACATTCCAGAAAAAAACAATGCTGACAGTTTTGCAGAACGTGCCGACGCCTATTACCAGAAACGGCCACAGCTGTTAGCCTTACTTCAAGAATTGTACAACAGCTATGTCTCTTTGGCAGATCGCTACTGCCAAGCACTTGCCAAGAACCATCATCATAATCGTCGATATTCTTCTCCTATACCATCATTAACTTTCAGTGAGAATGATAACTGTGATGAGGAAGACAATGGTGGAGAGATCATTGAGTCTGATGCTGAGAGTTCATTATCATATCAACCTTCCTTTCCACCTTCAACACAAGGCAAATTTGATGCAGACATGATTGTTGCTGACTTAGTGATCAGAACTGTGGAATATGATTTCGTCTTAGACGAGCTTAATCAAGTGGAAAAGCAAAACAATGAGTCATTAAGGAAGGTAGATTTGCAGAAAAGCTTACTGGACGTGCTGGAATCAGAGAGGTTGATTCTGTTAAACGAAAATGCTAGATTAGGATACAAGGTAGCTTCATTGATGGAGGAAAACAAAGGGTTATCTTCGGAATCTCTGTTCTTGAAGAGGAAGGCTGCTGAGTTAGCAAGGTGCATATTAAAGATGAGGGAGGATCATAGAGTTTGTATGCTAAGTCGAAAGATTGAGGATCTTCAAGGGCAAATATACGGGCTGGAGAAGAGGAACAAGGAGTATTATGATCAGCTTGTAAAGCATGAAGAAGAGAAGAAGAGCAGGTCCAAATCAATGAAGGGTAAAAGAGAAGTTAGTCTAAAGGGTTGCTTTAAAGTTCCTGAAGATGTTGTTGCTGGGATTACCAGGAGCTTTAGTTTTGGAAATCTGAAAAAAGGTGACCAGCATGGAAATTTTAAGGTTGAAGATGAGAAGAAAGTTCCTAAGTTGTGGGATAGGGTCAAGAAGTTTGATATCTTCCTTTGTGGACCTAATTTCAACTCACCCTATTGCTGATTATAGGGAAACAAATGTTTACTAGATTGAAATTATAGCTTTACTAGTATACTGTAAGTTTAATTGAGACTTAACTCTTGTATTTTGTATGTTCTATTCCACCCTTTTGGCCAGATACAAGTGACATCTGAAGGAAAACTTCAATCTCTGCCCTAATCTCACATATTAATAATTTCTAATAGTAAAGATGGGTAAGGTCCTCCAAGATTGCATAAGTGAACACTGTCAAAGATGGGCTAAGATTTAAGTAGGGTGATAAATTGACATATGATGCATATATATAACAAAAATACCAGCAAATAGTCACTAACAAAATATTCTCCTGTTCTCAGACATTGTTCTATATACACTGTTAAACTAGACAATAAACTACAACACAGAACCATTTAGATTAGTGGAAGTTCACTTACTGTAGATTTTGGCATTTGAACCTATTCTACCTCGGCAAGACCTAATACTTCAAGCAGATTATGTTGACAGAGATCCTACCTAAGTAAAACATACCAACACATCACTCATTCCAAATTAGCAAGAGCAAGTTTCTCCTTAAGCTTTGCAATCCGAGCCTGAAACATCAAGGATGATGATACATCAGTCTTGAAAAAGCAGATCTTGTGAAGAACAGATAGTTCTCTACAATAGCATCTCAGCATGTCACCTGTGTGTATGCATATGGACTCAGCTACTTAGGGGCATCAGTGGGGTGATACATTTACTTGAGGCCCATAATTCTTTAATATAATAAATTGTTTGGAAGGCTTAGAAACATTTTGACAAACACCACTCTCCTCTTGGATCAACTTTGTGGTGTGCATGGGCAGATCTCTCTATATACCACGAAACATGAAACATGAAAGTGTAATATAAAGCTTAACGTTTTTCTTGGCTGCAACCACAATCAGGCAATTTATCTGCGCTTGCAGCCTTATCTTATTGGAACCACACTATCTGTTTTAAACATATTACCATAGCTTTATTTAGTTATTAACATAACTGGCTAGACTAATGACTTCTACAATGTCATAACCGGATTTACACTACTAACAAATGAACTATATCAGATTTTTAATTACTTCTCAAATAGCGCATCATTGTCTTAAAAAAACATTTTATACTTGTTTGGTGTCGCCAACAGTTAGTGCAAGGAAGTAGACCTTAAACAATAAGCCTAAGTCATAGGATTTATGATGCAGAACAGATGCAAAAAGTTAAACCAATTCTACTCTAGAAGTACAGCAGACATGAACTGAACCTTGAATGATTTTGAACGACGGATGGACGGATCTAACTCCAAAGCCATGGAGTATGATTTGTCGGCTGCATCAACTTGGTCTGCAGCCATCAAAGCATCACCTTGGCAGATATAACCCTGTAAAAATCAAATGTAATAAATATTTGTAAGTAGCGATTAGTAGATATAGTATTTTAATGTTCTCTTCTTAAACTAATAGGGAGTACAGATATTATGCAATCATATATTTTATCTACTTCACTCTGAAATGGGGATGTAGGGGATCAGGATCTCATGGTTAAAAAAGCTAATGTGAGTTAACAAAGTTTAAGCACAAGACATTTCAAGTTAAGTTTAAGCACAAAACATGCTTTTCATGTATACTGTAACAGAAGTAACAAATAATCAAATTACTTCAGGATAATTGGGAGCAATAGTCAACGCCTCCTTAGCATCGTCAAGTGCATCAGCCAAATTTCCCATTGCCAACTCCGCAGCAGACCTGAATGAAGATACTTATTTCAGCATCTTGTTGTTCACATGCATTCTGACCATCTAGACAACAAGGAATTAGTGACAAATTATTAATATAAATTTGGATGCTAGAACAGAATCTAGTGATCCAAGAATTTTTGAAATGACTTTAAGAAAACTTCAGTACATTAACCAGAAAGGAAGATGAAAGCCAAAATGCCAGGACAAACGCTTAAGAGACAGAATAATGATGGTTGCTTTTGCTAAAGCTGCATGACAATCATTTGAATAATAGATATAGATTTAGGGTATTCTTCTGATTATTTGATTGCAAAAGGTCTTAACTTCCAATTGAAAAGAGGAGATTTTAAACACAATAAACCTGTCTTTGAGAATAATATGAACACCTCCAAACGGTTTTAGATCAATAGCCTGCACAAGAAAATGGCAACATCAGTGCCCTTAGGCACCAATGTTGTATTAAATACAATGAACAAGCCATATATAAAGAGACCTGTAAAACTAAAACATAAGTAACGATGGAAACATAGAAATAGTGAAAGGACTAAACATCATTTTTAGACACATTAATTAACTTATAGAGGAAGGATATTGAATGCCCCAATAGGTACTTTTTTCTTTTATGATGCACAAGACAAGGGACAACGAAGTGCAAAGTAATCCAGCGTAACTACTTAGTGTTGCCAGAAAGCTAGACACCTTTTCTTTTTTTTTTTTTCTATTCAACGATGGTGCCCCGATCAGCTTGAATTGGTGATAAATATTTGTCTGATAGTAAGAAAATGTTCAATTTGATTAGTTTGAAAGGATCAAATGTTATAATGTATATAAGACCTTGAAACCAAAAGTTGATTTTTACATCTCAAGCTTCTAATAGACTGTGCCATCTGTATGTTGAAATGATTTGAATCAATGACATCTCTTTTTATTTCGTTTCTTCACCATTTTTATCATGACATGCTTTGATAGACTTCAATTTATTCTACTAATCAAAGCGGAAATCACTGCATTGATATTCATTCCAATGTGTTCTATCCCATTAAGACAGCCAAAAAAGCTCAATGGTCAGTGTCACTGTGACACCCCTTAGCTTTTTTTTTTTCTATTGTTTTTGGATGACGGTGGACTATTCCACTGGGTACCTATTACCTCCCACCGGCTTAGGGAGATGGGAAGAAATCAGATACCTCTTAACTTTTTGATCGATAGCATTCTTCAAAAGTAATCCTAAGATAGTATAAATTAAGCAAAACTTGATTCAGTGCAATTCATCAAAATACGAAACCAATATATACCTGTGAGAGCAAACTATGAGCCTCAGAAAAATTGCCATTACTCATTTCATCCTCCGCTCTTTTCCTCAATGCTAAAGCCTCCAAGCTTTTCCTGCTTTCCCCTTCCACGTCATCCCTCTTACCAAGGCAGACGAACGTCATAATTTCAGCAGCTCGAGAAGCAGTACCACAGTGCTTAACAAAGACGGCGTCGGGTAAAACGACGACGTTAGGTCCAGCTCCGCAATGGCCAAGACACCCACAGGAGTTAACGGTGACGTAGGGAGGGGCAATACCGGAAAGAACTTGAAGGGTGTCTAAAGATCCCTGTTTCCTGCATGTCCTGTTTGTGCAAACTCTCATTTCTATCTTCCTTTTTAATTCTTGTTCTGCTTCTGCTTCTATTGGCGATGCTTTGATTCTTGTAGAGTCAATTGGTTTGGAATTGGGGAATGACGAAAAGGATTGCCGCTGAGAAATGGTGGGGAGAGTGAGACTGCTCATATGAATTGTACTCATCTCCTTTTACTTTAATTAATTACTTCTGGTTTCTCCGATTTCTTTACTTTTTTGCTCTCTTCATTTGTATGCTCCACACAGGGATGATACAGTCTCAAACGATTTAAGGCGGGTAGGATAATGGAATATTCTACTTCGGTCGTCCATTTATTCAGCTCCCATAAGTTTTTTTTAAAGAAATATTTTGAAAATATCGTTTGATTTATAGAAATGACTAGTTTTTAGACAGTTTTTGAAGATGAATGTTAAGTTTCAAAAAGCGTTTTAAATTAGTTTTTGAAGTTTTCTACTCACAGAGTTTCAACTTAGTTTTTGCTAGACCAAAAAGTATAATTTTTGGTTCAAATAATTCAATTTATGTATTAAGAGGTTAACCCTAATTAACAATAATATTTTTAGATGCGAGTTATGAGAGCGTGATTAATGTTGGACAAATCTAGTAGAAATATAATAATAATGTGTGACAATTATTTCAAGTAACGTGAGTAATAATAGAGCATTACATAGCAATAAACAATAATAAATGACATTTGAGTAAATAAAGAAATGATTCGCCCAATAAAGGAGAAGCTAGATATTATTCCTCCCGACAATAATGACATACAAATCCTTGAATGTTCGAATTATCCTCGGATCCGGCGGAAAGTATGAAATAATATGGACAAGAATCTTGGTAAAAAAATGTGTTGTTTGTATCTTAGTAAGAGAGATTCTTTTAATCAAAATGTGTTCTTACAAATGAAAGTCACATGCCGTACTCCATTGTCCTTCTTTTTATTCATATGAGATACATTCTTAACAAACCCTAATAGTACAAATACAAAGAATATCCAATAGGCTATTCTTTTCAATATTCTATTTCCGCAACTAGCTGTTACAGCTTTGCCAACGGTGCTCGACCTCGACCCTTGTTGACAGCTCGACCACGAATCCCGCTACTGCTTGGTCGACCTCGACTAATGATGACTTGAAGACTCTTCCTTTAGCGTTATCTTGTCTTAAATACTTTAGGACATATTTGACCTATCAGTTTTCAAGCAAAATGCATGTCAAAACACAATTTTAACTTAGAAAAATCATTTTTCATCTCATCTTTGAAAACTATTTTTTTCAAGTTTCGACTAGATCTATGTCCAAACGATACCTGAGTCCCAATTTATCCTCTTTCCAAAATTATGTACTAGTACTATGTATAAGTGGGGTTACTATTATTATTATTATTAATTTTTTTTTTTTGGTGAAAAGCAAACAAAAGTTATTTCTTCTAATTTGATTTGCTATTACCCATTTTCCACATACTTAATTGTAAAATAGAAAAATCCCATGTGGATACTAGTGGTTAGAATTGGATTCACACACACGACAGTATTGAATAACGACTTATTGACCATCGAACTGTTTAAATTATTAGATTGCATAACAAGCCAAAAAATAAAATAAGATCAGCAAATTGGACCAACAAATTTGGGAAACAAAAATTGTGCGAGACATAAACATATTTAGACATTGAACAACACGTTGCTTGCCGAACTCTAGTCCAAGCATTCTTTAGGCATTTGAGTGAATCTTGCAGTATCCTTACAATAATCATAGACCAAGTGCTTAGATTGAACCATTTTGAATTGGCGCTTTTTGCTCTTGTTCAGCTCCCTCATGGCTGGCTTATCCCACCAGCATTGTGCTAACTTGCCACATTTTGCGCCTGCAGCAACTGTGTCCTCACCAGACAAATCACAAGCATCAATCTCGAACGCTCGAAATGTTGCAACAAATGGAGAGTGGCTCCAGTTGGTCTTCACTCTCCCTCCTTGTGTAGCCCAGTCATCTGCATTCCACAACGATCCATAAACTCCCATGCCTTGATTTTTCGGGTATGCCACGCCTTTTTTCTCTGTGTTTTTGAACACTCTAATAGGAATGTCATCAACCGAAAAGCTGCAAGAATTCATATGACAAGTAAAATTCTTCATTATTAGATGTGAATTTAACTCGTTATATATGTTATCAACTCGTTATAAAAATTTACTTTAAATTGCCAAAGTTGCAAGCCTCTAAAATTATTTAAAGGAAAGATCAAACACATTTAGCGATGGTCGAAGTAAGAACTACATACATAATGGTATGATGATTCCAAAAGAAAGAGTAAGTGTGGAAATCCGCAGTTGGATCGAACCAAAGACTATGCCTCTGCTCTCTGTCTCCGGTGCCATTCGCGTACACATTTGTTTGTACTAGGTATGGTTCTCCTGAAACATTCCCTAGAAACTCAAAGTCCAGTTCGTCGTGATTAGCTCCCTCTGATGACATCTGCAACCACATATTAATTCCAATAATGTTGGTAATAGTTTAAAGAAACAATATAAGAGTACTCTTGATGAATATTTGTTTGGTTTTCGTTACGTACATAAAAAGCAATGACTGTTCCAGCTGAATCTCCATCAACTAGTTTGATCTGCGCGCTGGCTTTCCCAAACATATATTTGTTCTTCGACTGAAACCCGCAGCCTTTGCAAAATATCAACATAATAAATCAATGGTTATTTAATTATATTGCCTGGAAAAACAGAAAATATAATAAAAGACTAGGAAGAGAAAGTAAGTAGAAATGAAGTGAGACATATTGGTAACTACCAGAAGCATTGTCAAGGGTGAGCATAACTTGGTCTCCTACCACAGTAATATGGTCAGGTGACCAACTCGACTCGAAAACTTCGGTGAAGTTGACACCAACCCCTGTGTTTAGTAACATAGCTAGGATCAAAAAGACAATCATAGAGGATAACATTGCTGTCTGGAACTTGAAACCAATTAATTTTAGGGTCTAGAAGTAAAAGGTTCAAGTCTATATTGGTCTATTAGGAAAAACGCCAATCAAGAACTTGGAGGCACTTTAGTTTTATATATAAGTTAGTATTAACATATATTTATGGACTGGATTGTTTAAATTAGGATCATGGATTACAGCGAGCAAGAGAATGTTTTAGTGGCAGCCATGGCACTGTCGTCAGCATGCAGCTTTTTCTTCTCATGTTTTGTTTACTATATTCTTTTTTACCAGATGAACTGATTCGTTGCTGCACTCCACTAACTACCAGTTTTGATAACAGATTCTTTTGTTCAAACATTCCACAATGTAAACTTCAAGTGGCATATAAGGATGACTGTATTTATAAGAGGGAGGGAACAAGTGGGAAGTTTGTTATTAGGTGGTAGACTGGTAGTGTGAAGCAAAAAACAGTATATACTGCCGAAAGTTCGGCATGGCAACAACCCACCCACTAAAGCATTGGAAACGCACTATGATTTGATGATTGAATGAAGCAGGGAATAAACAAGAATAGATTATCCCATCTGCAATACAAAATTTTCCAAGAAGACGCCTTTATCCAGGTAATTTCCCAGAAGGCAAAATAGTGAACTGATAAGCTACACCAATCTTTTGAGACTATACATGAGCAATAGCCATGTATAGGCAACCTCATAACTGGTCAAATATCTGTATACTGATTAAAAGGTGTCCTACCTATAGACAAATTACAGGGTTAGAAGATGAAATCAACTTTGAACTCTCTATGCTATTGAAAATTCAGGCCAACTGTCAGTATCATCGTGATAAGTGAGTCTAAGTCAAAACAAAAATATGAAGTTCCCCGACGTTCGACCCCTCGTGCAATCTCTTCATATGGTTTCACCCAATCAATATACTTTGATGTTACACAGACTAGAATTTGACCCCTGGCCACTATTGACCATATGAAAAGAAAATGAGTTACGCTGCCAGGCAATTTGTATGAACCGGTCGAAGCTGAGATGAGCAGTAGACACCCATAGGCACCTCCACCACGTGGAAAGGATGCTAGTAGACATTGTTCAAGCCCCAAGATGATACAATATTGAAAGCATGCATCTGGCAAAGACCTAAACAAAATGAAAGGGTTAAAATTACGAGATAGAGAGTCTCATGGATGAACCAATCTGAGAAATACAGATGTTTGACATAGTGCGAACCTTTTATCCTTTCAAGGGAGGAAACATTGTGAGAAACAAGAGAGAAAAACATTAATGGCTGTGGAAAGAGTAAGATACTTGAATAATTTCATTTATATTTTTGAATGTCATATACATGGCTTTATATACTAGAAGAGGTTAGAAACAAAATCCCATAAAATCTGTGATTATACAAAATAAAATAAAACAAAGAATCAAAATTTGATATGGAAAGATCTTAGAGAATCAAAACTTAATATGGACAAATCTTAGAGGATCAAATCTTGATATGGAGAATATCTTTTTGGAAATCCTCTATCATTCAACACTCCCCCTCAAGCTGGTGAATGGATATCTTCCATTCCTA